CAGAGAGAAAGCACAAGCTGGGGAGGAGCAGAGAGAGAGGGAGACAGGAACCGAAGCAGGCTCCATGCTGACAGCAGGGAGCCCATTGCGGGGCTCGAAATCACAAGCAATGAGATCATGACCTGAGCTGAAGTCACACACTTAGCTGACTAAGCCACCCAGGCGCCCCCTTCCTCCCTTTTAAGAGGTTATGTATAGATCAAAAAGCCCTGGGAATGGTAGGATTGCAGCTTCATGATAAGGAGCTGGATTTTTGGTGTCAGACTGACTTGCGTTTGAATCCTGACTCCACCGTTTACTAACAGTGAGATCTCAAGCAATTTATGTAGCCCTCCTGTGCCTCAGTATCTCAACCTGTAAAGCGTAAATAATACGACTTAACTTGTGGAATCGTTTGAGGATGAATGACAGCATGTGAAGAAAGAGCTTCTGGGTACAGCGCAGAGCCCAGAAACCACCCAGGAAGTGATAATTTAGTGTCACTGTGTTTTAGATGATATAATACCAGAGTGACAAATGTATGGGTCTGTCCCAGAAGGGCTAATTTACATTGCCTGAGAGATAATGCTGTCTTCAGTGAGCTATATATACCTTGACTCCAAAAAAAATTCTTCTGAACAGGGGTGTCTTCATGCCGTAAACAATGATGGGGTATGTGTTCTGTGCTAGGCTTTCTGGGGGAATAATTAGAGCCCGGACTCGACCCTCAGGGAGCTTACAGTCTGATTCAGAGCTAGCACACAAACTCAACTATGATGTAACGTAAAAAGTGTACGTCCTAGAAGATCAAAGAAGGCAACGGCATTTCCAACCAGAGATATTCAAAACCAAACCCATGTGACCTCACTTCTGCAGCCAGACTTGTTCCTATGGTGCATTCCCATCCCCACGAGTGGGTACTAGCCTGTGTTCAAATCCAGCCAGGGCTCTGGGAGGCTCTCTTGACTCTCCCTCTCCTTCCGTTCTGCTGCTGCCTGGCCACAGGGCCGAGAAGATCTTTCTTACTGTCCTTAACCCTCCCTATCTGTCTTCACTTTCAGTGACTCACTTCTGTGGTTCTCAACCCTCTGTACCTTTGAATCCCCTGGAGGTCTTGTTAAAACACAGATTGATGGGACGCCTGAGTGCCTCAGTCAGTTAGGTGTCCGATTCTTGATTTCAGCTCAGGTCATGATCTCACAGTTTGTGGTTACGAGCCTGGTGTCAGGCTCTTCACTGCCAGCGCGGAGCCTGCTTGGGATTCTCTCTGCTCTTCCCCTGCTCTCACGTGTGCTTTTTCTCTCTCTCTCAAAATAAATAAATGAATGAGAAACCCCCTCCACAGACTGATGGTGATGGGCCCCACCCCTAGAGTTTCTTCTAATTTAGTTGGTTGGGGTGGGGCCTGAGAATCTGCATCTCTAACAAGTTGCAACCCCAGGTGCTGCTGGCCTGGGGACCACACCAGGAAGTGCTATTTTATTTTATTTTATTTTTTAATATTTTTATTTATTTCTAGGAAAGAGAGAGAGACAGCGTGAGCAGGGGAGGGTCAGAGACAGAGGGAGTCACAGACTGAAACAGGCTCCAGGCTCTGAGCTGGCAGTCAGCACAGAGCCCGACGCGGGGCTCGAACCCACAAACCGCGAGATCATGACCTGAGCGAAAGTCGGACGCGTAACCGACTAAGCCACCCAGACGCCCCCAGGAAGTGCTATTTTAGTTCATGCCCCCGTCATTTCCTATTGGGATTATTGCCCTGTCTTCGTAGCTAAGCTGTCTCTTCCCTTCTTCTTTACATTCTCCACTCTGATCTCAGATCTGGAAAGAAAGCTCTTTCTGGCTGTGGGGTTGCCTGTAGCATAAAGATCAGAATCGCTCATGTGACCTGCAGGGCCCTGAATTACGCGCTCCTACCTTCCTCTCTAGTTGTTTCTACTGCCTGGCAGATCCCACACCCAACTTCTAGCACACAGAACTGCTGACAGTTTTAATACCCAGGTTATTTCGAGTTTTCTTTGTATCTCCTGTTGCTCTGACTACAATGACAAGGGTCCCTTTCTCCATTTGCTGACTCCTGTGGATCCACTCAGGAACGCCTCCCTTAGGAAACACTAACTCTCCATCTGCAGGCAGGCATAGCCGCTCACCTCTGTGCGTTCTACCCCATGGTGGTTATTGCATAATGGTACTTGCCTACCAGTCCAGCTTGCCAACAAGACCCTGAGCTTCCCGAGAGCAAGAACCCAATCTTTTATCTCTATAGCAACAATCCCAAGCAGTACCTTGCCTGACACAGACTCAGAAATCAGTGGATGTTGAATGAGAGGAGATCCAGGAAGGCTACTTTAAAAGAGGTAGGCATTTTAGCACAATGTTAAAGGTGGTTAGGGTTTGGACATGCAGAGAAAAGAGGAAGAACATTCCAGAAGAGGAAGCTTGAGCCTGCACTTGGATATGGTCAGGCTTGGACTCACTATAAGGAAGGAACAAGGAGAGGTCTTCTTTGCCCACAGGACATCATGAATGCCATTTGAAGATCATAGTAAAGGTAAAATCAACATGACTCAGCAAGTGACTAAACACGAGTGTCAGGAAAGACCCAGATCAAGTGTGAAAATGGATAGTACTGTTAGCCAGGACCACACTCTCCAGAGATGGTGTAAGGTGGATAAGGAGTAAAGATGGACGAAGACTGAGAGTATGGTTTGGGTGATCGTGGATTTGGGGACATATTAGGACACACTCCACGGCCTTGTCTTTCTGTGTCTTCCCACTCACCTTAACTACGTTTTGATCTCCAGGGCCTCCAGAGCCCTGGAGTAAGTGCTCAGTAAATGCTGAATGAATGAATGATGCATGGATGTAGGCAGGGGACTCACAATAAAGGCCAGCAGTGGCCCTGCATGAGCCACGGAAAAAGACAGGTAGTTCCTGAGATGATTTTAGGTAGTGCCATTATCATTCCTGATGCCACCTGTACGGATGAGACTCAGGCAAGAGAAAAGCAGGCTGCTGGCTACAGTGGAGGCCCAGGATGGACTGCGGGGAGCGGCAGCTGGGGCACAGGAGGCCACTGCCTACCGTTAGGCCTGGGGAATGTCTCAGCGTTCGTGAAGACAAGCAAAGGGCACCTTGACCATAACGGCTTACACCCGCGCTTGCGGTACCGCGTGAGGGGCTTCACTGTGGGCGTGCGGCCACAGAGCGTGTGAGAGCTGGATAGACTCTCTGACTTCACTGTACTCACGCAATCAGCATGAATGTTCGTACTTCTCTCCCACGGTTGAAGGTACGTCTAGAAAGAGTGACACACTGTCACCGCTAATCCGCTCCCCCTTGTGAGAGAGACAGCTTTATGACTGTTGTGACACTGTTCTCCACATCGAACCGCTACTGTTCTTCCATTAAATTTAACACATTGACATGTGTTTGGGGGATGTCATGTAATGCGAACGGCCGAAGGAAGCAGGTGTTCTTCTGGCCTGTTCTTCCAGTCTCCCTGCATGATACTAAGGGGCTTTCTCATAGTCCTCTTGTGTGTGCAGAGAAATAGTCAAATAAAAATAATCTAGAGATTAAAGCATTACGTGGTCTTTATACTAAACATACACACTGTAAAGAGTTATGTTTCTAAGCTAACGGATCTCTTTGGTTGTGTTTCCAAATCTGGAAGCATCAAAAATGAAAATTTACAGTGTGATCAAGCAGTAATTTCTGTTGCCAAAAACAGGTGCTGGGACATGGTGGGGGGGCGGGGGGGTGCAGAGAATAAATAACAGATAAAGGATCAGGATTCAATTTCCTTTTATACTCAAGGTTGGGAATAGGCAGACCGTTATTTACCCATGCCTGCCACTGATGAACGGGGTTATAAAGTGCAAGTCATTTACTTTTAAAATTCAGTTTCATTTCGTCCAGCAATCTCTGTGAGCCTGCATATCTAATTAAAGGCTTTAGACACTGAGATCCTGGTGTAACAATCTATAACGCAGGTACTAGTTGGAGTTAATCCATTCAGCAAATATTTGTTGAGCATTTATTTACGCGTCAGCCCTGTGCTGGCCATGAGGGAGCAAGGCAGATTCAGGTTTTCTGTCCTGCTTGACACAAACCTGGAGTTTGAGACTCAGATTTTATTGTGGCTATTGCTTCTGTGGCTAACACACGAGCGGCCACCTTTGTTTCCAGTTTTCTACGTGGACTGTTTCTGAAGAGGTTCTGCGCTGCTGACATATATCCAAAGTGGCAATTTTCAACGTGCTTTAAAAGAAACTTCACTGTGTGTCGGTATTGATGGGGCCAATTCGAAAATCTAAGGAAAGTGGAATTCAGGAAGTCAGGGAGTCCTAAGAATGCTTGGAATTTCTAACAGATTTTACTAAACATTTTCCGTATCATGACATGTTCCAGAGACCATAAACGTTAGTTTATACAAATATAAACTCCTCTTTGCCTTGCTGATAACTGCAAATAAATACTTCAGATGACCACCCACCAGAAAACCGAGAACTTTGGGGGGTTTTATGTGGTCCCTATAAAATACTTGCTTTGTAAATTTTAGTGATCAAAAAGGAAAATCATGAGGTATTGCCTCATTTTATTCCCACTTAAAAATTGTGCAGAACTGGCTTCAAATATTTCTGCAGATCTCAGTAATGTCATTACAGAAATGTAAAATAATATTTAACCTCTTGCCTTGTTTAGACTTTCAAATAAGGGGCATAAAGACATTTTTTTTCACTTGCATTTCAGTACAGCTGCACACTGAATTCTCATGTTAAAGTAGCTTAACCTGTCACATTGTTTTCATGGTAGCAATCAACTAAATTAAATACAAGGCTATAAATTTCAGCAAGAAGCCTAATGTAAAGTTCATAAACGTTGTACAAAACACAGCTGTTTGGCCCTGGTCCAAGAGGTAATAAGTGAGGATAAAGGAGTAGGGAAGATAACCTTTAGCTTAATATAGTTTGGTAAATTAGATCCTATATATGCTAATTTTGTACTTTTTTTAATAGATGGAACTGATTAAAAATATAAGTACTGCCGAACAGCCCTATTTATTCACTCGACATGTTCATTTCCTCAACTTCTCAAGGTAAGATATTTTCCCGCTTAATGGGTCTTTCATTTCTTTTTAGCACTTAAACTCCTTCTTAGGAACAATTATTTTAAAATCCACTTTCACTTTCAACGTAGTGTAATTGCCCTTGAAAGGACTTTTTTTTTAAATTCATTTATTTTTGCTGTGGAAGGGTCCAAATTTGAAATATTTGGACAGAAGCTTCATTTCTTTCTAGAATACTAATCTTAAATCTTTTGAAAATTTGAAATAATTTTAACGCTAAGCCATTTGACGTGATAGTTGTAATTTTTTTTTTAATGTTTATTTTTGAGAGAAAGAGAGAGCACAGGGGAGAGGCAGAGAGAGAGGGAGACAGAGGATCCAAAGCAGGCTCTGCATGGACAGGAGACAGTCCGATGTGAGGCTCCAACTCACGAACCATGAGATCATGACCCAAGCTGAAGTCAGCTGCTTAACCGACTGAGCCACCACAGGCCCTCCTGATACTTGTGTGTTAAAGAAAAAGCTAAGCATTAAAACAAATAAACCACGGGGCTCAGGGAAGGTCAGGGCTCTGCCTGAGTGTCGGCTGCTTCTCAGTTCACACCCGAGCTGCCCGGCTCAGTTTCCCTGCCAGGGATGCCTACCAGTCTAGGGGCTGGGAGGAGGTTGTAGCCTTCAGACGGCTTCCCTGCTGTGCACCAGGCCCGCTGAAAATCGAGTGCAAAGAGAGTGAGACTCAGCAGAGAAAGTTACAGAGGGCAATGAGAAGGCACTGCTTTCTCTTTAGAAGTGAGCTCCCCCTGCAAGTCCCCGGCCTACGTGCCAAGCAGAGTTCCCTTGGATGGTGACTAGGCATATAGGACACTGCAGAGCAGCCTCCGTGATCCAGCAGCCTGAGCATGTTTCCCACCACATTTGTAGACTCGCTGGTACTGGATGGTCTGCGGTCCGCACCCTGCCTCTCATTTCCGTCGGCCGTGAACACATAATTAGACATAACTGGATAACGAGGTCGTGTTAGCTATTTCAGGCATTGCGTTTTACGACTTGCAGAGAGCAAAGCACAGCCCACCCCTGCCGCTGGCTTCTCTCATCAGCTTCCTTTCCTGTCACACCTGACATCCTCTAGCCTCTGATTTAACTCTTCTTTCGTCATGGGTCAAGTTTTTACAACCAAAGCAAATCACAATGCAACAGATTTTAATAACTGACTCAGGACAGTGTAAAAGTCTACTGATAAGTCAAAGCCAGTACCTTAATCGGGTCAGTGGGTCTGAGCACAGCAGGGAAACCGTATCTTATCATGGCCTCTACTATTAAATACATGTCCAAGGGGCGCCTGGGTGGCTCAGTTGGTTGAGCATCCAACTTTGGCTCAGGTCATGATCTCACAGTCTGTGAGTTTGAGCCCCACATTGGGCTCACTGCTGTCAGTGCAAAGCCCACTAGGATCCTCTGTCCCCCTTTGCTTTGCCCCTCCCCCACTCATGCTCTCTTTCAAAAAGAAACATTTAAAAAACAATAAATACATACATACATGTCTGAGAGCTTAATCTTAATTAATATAATCATGAAAGAAGAAAAATTGATAAACACCTTTGGGAAGACACCACATCTCCAGAAAGCAGTGTTGGCCTGGTGGCCAAGACCTCTAGATATCAGACCTTCCCACTGACCTTGACTCCAGGCTAGCAACTTCACCTCTGGGTGGGGATGGGAGGTCTCTGTTTTCCCATCTCTACAATAGGAACACTTTCTGCCCACTCCTACCTTGGAGGGATGTTCCAAACACATGAATGAAGGAAAACCCTTCACATTTTTTGAGGGAAGGATATTACATATGTGCAAAGTGGAATTTATTTTTTTACAGGGAAATAATTTCATTTTAAATAAGGTATGTTCAGATATATAATATTATGCACACTTAAAAAAATGTGTACCAAAATAGATCATTCTTTTTTTAACATATTTTTAAAGTTTTTTTTAAATTAATTTTGAGAGAGAAAGCGCAAATGGTGAGGAGCACAAAGAGATGGAGAGAGAATCCCAAGCAGGCTCCACACTGATAGTGTGGGGCTTGAACTCACAAAGCGCAAGATCATGACCTGAGCCAAAACCAAGAGTCAGACACCTAACTGAGCCACTCAGGCGCCCCCAAAATAGATCGTTCTTAATAAATTATAGCAGTTTATACTTGAGCAAAATTGAAACATATATTCCTGTTTTCCTTATGAAGGAGATTGTTGTAAGTAATCTTCCCTCTGATATATCTCAATAATCTTTTTTTCCCTCATCCTTCCCTATTAATTTTCAGCCGAAATTCCTGCATAACTCGTGATATTTTTTCCATCCAGGTTGTGTGTCTGTTTGACTGTGTATTAGAAATGACATGTTTCTATGTCTCTGGCAACTGCTTAGCCCTGTGGAAAAATTACCTTTGTAGTTTCTTGTTGAAGTGGTTTGTGAAAGTGTTCAGCCACCTGTGCAGTATTGCAGAGAGACATTTCTGTAGATGCCTCGTTCTTTTTTGTTTGTTTGTTTATTTATTCTTGAAAGAGGAGACACAAAATCCAAAGCAGGCTCCAGGCTCTGAGCTGTCTACACAGAGTCCCACACGGGGCTCAAACTCACAAGCTGTGAGATCATGACCTGAGCCAAAGTCAGACACATAAGTGACTGAGCCACCCAGGCGCCCCCGTAGAAGCCTCCTTCTGAGCCTACAGTTGAGTCCTGTGTAGCCTTGCAGGATCTCCGAGAGACCGTGAGGACGGGGACTGGCTCATGCCGATGTCTCCATCCTCCATTCCAGTTTGTTCAGTTAAAACACATTTGTACTGGGGATCGTCTGTGTTCTGTACCCTGCCGTAAGACCAGGGCTTCCACAGTGAACTAGAACCGTTTTCCTTGTTTGAGGGTTAGGGTCTGTTTTCTTCCATCAAGGAAGAATGACAACAAAGCGTGATGGACTTCAGGAGAAAGGGTCATGGCGTCTCCCGCAGAGGAAGCAGGACCCTCCCTTGTGGAAGGAGGGAGACTGGGAGGGGCTTCCAGAGCAGGGGCCTTTGCTGCTGGGATATGAAGGAGAGGTCAGCTTTAGACAAAGCGGAAGGGCTTTGGCGGCACAGAGACCAGCATGAGCTAAAAACAGACAAAGAGAGGGACGAGAGGAATCCGTAGATGCGAGCCCCAAGGGTGAGCACAGTAAAAATGGACAGCAGTCAAGAGTTGTAAGCAGGAAAAAAGGAGAGACTGGCCTGAGCAGCTTTGCTCCTTTAAAAAGCCCATGCTGGGGCGCCTGGATAGCTCAGTCGGTTAAGCGTCTGACTCCAGCTCAGGTCATGACCTCGCAGTTTGTGGGTTCGAGCCCCACATCGGGCTCTGTGCTGACAGCTCAGAGCCTGGAGCCTGCTTCTGATTCTTTGTCTCCCCTTCTCTGTGTCCCTCCCCTGCTCATGCTCTCTGTCTCTCTGTTTCTCAATAATAAATAAATGTTAAAAAATGTTTTAAATAAATAAATAAAATTAAAAAATAAAAAGCCCATGCTATCTGCGGGAGCCGTCACATCCTCTCCTGTCACGCACAGGACCGGGGCTCCAGGCACGAGACCTCCATATGTACGGGCTTACAGTGCAAGTCCCCAGTATGCAATTAACAGCAAAAAAAAAAAAAAAAAAAAATAGTAAGTTGGAACTTGTTAAGAAGGCTTTCCCCATGCTTATAAAAATGAGTTCTATATTTTGAATTGTAAGGCAAAGAGATTATTAGCTACTCTTACGAAACCTACGACAATCATCCCTGACAGCCATATGGTTGCCTTGTTTCAAGATAATGAGGTTATTAAGAGAAAAATTGATACTGCAACTTAATGTTCTTTGTGGGTACTTCGTTTCTAATCTTCCTTACATTCTTAACATACAGCAACACACTTGCTGGTGAGCAGAACATAAGAATGGAGGCCACTTCTCTCCCGACACCTTGTGCATGTAAATGTTCTGAGCTTCTAAAGCGGACGCCATTATACCACAATGAATTGCCCTTATTTCTTTTTTTTCCCCCATTAACTATGGCATTCTTATCTTGAAATGTAGATCCTCTGACAGAAGCAAAATGCTACCCTGTGAGCTTTCGGTGATTAGATAGCCGACCTGCTTCATTTATTCATCATCTAGGCATCTTGCTGTGTTCTGTCTTTTCCCTATTTTGAGACCTAAAAGGACCATTTCACCACATCCAGTTTTATTAATTCAACCATAGAAAGCAATAGTGTTCAGACCAAGCTGATGTTTTCATCGTTGCTTCGGGGAAGGCTTCTTGCCAAAGGAGATAAACACTAAACTCAGTGGAAATTTCAGGCCAGTTGGGATTTGTGAGGGCTTCCACTAGACTGCTCCTTCATGCAGTTTTTGAACTGCTTAGAAATTTGGTCCAGACAGGGGCACTTGGGTGGCTCAGTCGGTTAAGCGTCTGACTTTGGCTCAGGTCATGATCTCACAGTTTGTGGGTTCGAGCCTCACATAGGGCTCTGTGCTGACAGATCAGAGCCTGGAGTCTGTTTCAGATTCTGTGTCTCCTTCTCTCTCTGACCCTCCCCTGCTCATGCTGTCTCTCTCTCTCTCAGAAATACATAAAAAACATTAAAAAAATTTTTTTTTAAATACAAAAAAAGAAATTTGGTCCAGACAAATGTTTTCCAACTGGACTACCTGGAGAATTGAGCCAAAATGACCTTGGCCTAAAAGATGCTATTCTTTGTTGTGATGTTTTAGGAGGAATTGTAATATTTGCATACTGTGGTCTAATGAGTCCATTCCTGGTGGTTGACCTAACTGAGAGGATTATAATTTTTAAAAAATTTCAGCCTTTCAGTGTGAATGGAATCTCTTCAGGCGAAGCTTAGATCCACACACTGAAAGACCATGACAGACAATTCAGTTTGTCTTCCCCTTACCCCCACTGTTTGTTTGTTTGCAAGCATTTTGGAGGGGTTGAGGGGGCAGTAACTTTCCAACCTGTGTCTTGCAGGGAAGACA